TTTTCGACTCTACTGGTATAGGTAAGGAAATCATAACAAGGAATAATGGAGTTGAGAAGTTAGAAATCGCCTGAAACAAGCGTGGTGATGAATGCTCAAATTTTCTTCGTGTGAGAAGAGGCCTTTGCTCAGTTGTGGGTACTTAAGTATAGGCTGATGTTGTGAATTCCTTTTTCGAAAGAGTCATATATTTTATTAAAAATATCCACATAATACATAATGACAAACCAGTATAGATACTTAATTAAAATTTTATAAACGGCCGTTGCTATGAAAATTTATATGCTATATAAAATTTGGTTACTGTTTTTGCGGAGCCTGGATATAATGATATCCTTATAATATTAAATTTAAGTTTATATTTGATAAACTATAGTGTACAGCTTGCGTATACTCTGTAATTTTTATTAAAGGGAAAAAATAACCATCATCTGACCTTTTTTGTCGTGCCCTGGGTGGGGCGAGAAAAGGTGTCAGACTTTCACTGACTAAAACCACCCCATTCCTTTTCCTGCTCCGTGCAGTGCCTAACATCTTTGTTTATATATATAATATGTTTGTTTTTTTTTATGGTATAAGTCGGCAAACGAGCAGACGGATAACCTGATGGTAAGCAATCGGCGCCGCCCATGGACACCCGCAACACCAAATGACTTACGAGTGCGTTGCCGGCCTTTTGGGGTTAGGGGTTGCGGATAAAGAGATCGGGAAGGGATAGGGGAAGGGGAGGGATTGGGCGTCCGGTAACCTTACTCACACCGCGAAACAACGCTGTGGGTTGTTTCACGCCGGTATTCTGTGAGGCCGTGGTATCACTCCGGTCGAGCCGACCTATTCGTGCCGAAGCTTGGCTCTCCCACAATTGTACTTATACTCATGCTTGTACCCGCAATCCTGACAGACGTTATGCGGAGTTACTTTACATCATCACCACTTTTAGTATAATGGATATCAAAGCATACTTTACATTATAACTGAGAATTTTGAAAATAATTCAAATCAAATCAAATCAATCAAATCAAAATCAAAAATGTTTATTTGTCAGAATATGGTACAATAGATGTTACAGTTTTGATTCCAGCATATCCTGCCATACTATGGCGTACAAATATTTCTGTATAATACAAATTAATAAAATGTCAATATTATTTATAGGATTAAAGTTGCTGTATTGGTTTTGTAAATATTATTAAAATAAAGATTAAGAATTAATTAAGAATTTTTTAAGAATTAAGAATTAAGATTGCCATGTCACATATAAATATTATTGTAATGAAGATTAAAATTGAATTAAATTGGTCATAAGAATGTCATTAATGTTTGATAATTATGTCACTGTTAGATATGGCAAAGCCTATTTTTACATAAATATTATGTATTATGTTACTAGCGATTTATCCTCTAAATATTCTTTAACACTGTAATATTTTTTCTCTAGTAACATTTTAAATAAAACCCTTTTGAACAACGACGATGGCAAATCTTGAATATTATTTGGCAGATGGTTATAAATAATAATTGCCATGCAGTAAATATTTCTTTTATATAGCATTAATTTTATTTGCGGCAGTTTTAATTTGTAATTGTGACATACTCTACTATTAGTTTTGTAGTTACTTTTAACAAATGAATCATAATTTTTTTTTACAAACATGCATGTTTCAAATATGTAGAGACTTGGCAAAGGTAGTATTTTAAGTTTTTGGAACAGCGGTTTGCAGCTATCCAAAAAGTGAGCTCCACACATTGCTCGAATACACTTTTTTTGTCCTTTAAAGACTCTTTCTACGTCTACTGAGTTGCCCCAAATAATAAGACCATATCTTAGTAAAGATGCTACATAAGCATGGTAAGCCACCATTGCGCTATTTATGTTAACCGTTTGTCTTATTCTTTTCAAGACATACACAAATCGATCAATATTTTTAAGTATTTTCTCTACGTGTGGCTTCCAGCTGCAGTTTCTATCAACGGTTATACCTAAAAATACACATTCATTCATAGTGTTTAGGACGGAGTTGTTATATTGAATTACTAAATTATCTGTGTTTGTGTTGGATGCTTGGAATTGTATTATGTTTGTTTTTGTCATGTTAATTTTTAAATTATTTGTTTCTAGCCACTTGATTGTTTTGTCTAATGCTTTAACTATTCGGTTTTGTAAGTCTTTGTTATCATTGCTTTTAATAATTAAGGTTGTGTCGTCAGAAAATAGAATGCATTCTTCATCAATAGCATCTGGTAGGTCGTTGATGTATACTAGAAAGAAAACCGGGGATAAAATTCCTCCTTGTGGTGTTCCGAAGCGGTTCGTTCTGTATTTTGATCTAAATTGTTTTTGTTCATTTTTACACATTCTTGTTATTTCTACGCATTGTTCCCGGTTGGTAAGAAAGCTTTTGATCCAATCATTGGCTTTCCCGCGGATTCCATAGTTAGAAAGTTTGGAAAGTAATATTTTATGACAGACAAAGTCAAACGCTTTTGTCATGTCTAGAAAGACACATCCTGTTTTGGATTTTCTGTTTAGGTTTTCGGTTATTTGAGTAACTAGTGAAAAACAAGCTGAAGCAGTGGATCTCCCCTTTCTAAATCCAAACTGTTCTTTTTTAAGGATGTCACACGATGTCAAAAAGTTCTCTATTTTATTACACATTATTTTCTCGAATACTTTTGATAAAATGGGTATTAAGGTGATTGGTCGATAATTACTCATGTCAGATTTTACCCCTTTTTTGTGTAGCGGTTTGACGATTGATTTTTTCAGACGATTTGGGAAAGTTCCTTCGCTTAGGGACATATTTACGAGTATAATGTAGCATAGAGGTGATGCTATATTGGCAGCGCATATTTTTAATACTTTGGTACTTATTTCGTCATAACCAGTCGAGTTCGTATTTTTTAAACTATTTATTATTTTATATACATCCATTTCATCTACTGGTGTCAGAAAAATGCTTTTGGGATTTTGTGATATTTTAAAATTTGTGTCGATATTATTTTTTTGTGATATGTCAGTTGTATTAGTCAAGGATATATAGTAGTCATTAAAGATGTCACAAATTTGATCAGGGTCGTCATAAATGTCATTATTGATTTGAATTGTGTCAATGTCAGTATAATTTGTATTGTTATTAACGTCTCCTTTAATTAAATTCCATGCTGCTTTACTTGTATTTTTTGCTTTGTTTATGTACTGTTGACTATTTATCTGTTGTGCATTTTGTATACATCTTTTTAATATACGAGTGTAGTCGTCATACATTTTTTTATTGTGTTTTTTGTTATCTTTACAAAGGCTGTATTTTAGGTATAGGGTTCGTTTTTTAATACAACAACGCTTCATATTTTTTGTCAGGCATCGATTTTTTACTTGTTTATTGTTATATTTAACTTTAATAATGGGGAAGCATAAGTTGTAAAAAAGAATAATTGTATCGTGCAAGCAATTGAAAGCGTCGTTTGTTGAGTTGCAGTCGTATACCTCGGAGAAAGATAAATTTGACAAGCAGTCCTTAAATTTATTTATATTGTCATCACCGAGGTCCCTTATACTTTTAAACCAGAATCTACTAATGTCCTTAACTTTAGTATCCGTTTCTAAGTTAGCTGTCAGTGATTGTGCTGTTTCGTGGTCTGAGAGGGCTAAGTAGTGCAGTGCAGACTTGGCGTCATGTATGTTGCTCACTATTAAATCCAAGCAAGATGATTTTCTCGTCGGGAAATTAATAAAGTTTTTCAGATTGTTATTATTAAGTATGGCGTTTAGATCATTAGATATTTTATTTCTTTTTAATATATCTATGTTCCAGTCCCCGCATATTATGACTTTTTTCTTAATCTTTTTACACAGTTTATTTGTAAGGAGTTCCAAACTATTCAAAAATGTCGTTGCATCATGTGTAGGTGTTCTGTAGATGCACACTATTATAAGATTATATTTAGGAACTTCAATGGCACAGTATTCGAATTGGAGGGGTATGGGGGTGATAGGTTTGATTTCCTTGTATTGCAAAATATTTTTTATTAGAATGCATGACCCGCCCCGGCGTTGGTTTGATCGAGAGAAGTGTGATGCCATTTTGTAGTTGTCAATTGTAAGATTTGATTCAGAACCACTTTTAAGAAATGTTTCCGTAAGACAAATAATATCAATAGAACCCAATGGTATTTTTAAGTCAGATAATGCTGCTTCTATTAAAACTTGTTTATTTAGTACTCCGGCTATGTTTTGGTGAATTAATGTAATGGGGGTTATAATTTGATGAACGAAAAAACTTGTTTTCGGTCGTTTGTTTATTGTTTGTTTTAAAGTAAGCTGTAATTTTTGTTTGCGTTGTTTTTAGGGGTTGTGTGTCACATTCAGATTTTTGTGTAGGTGTGTTTTCTGGTTTTATTATAGCTTGTCTAAACTGATGGAGGAATCGTGTTTGGTATTTTTTGTAATCAATTCTAGTATTCAACTCAAAACACAAGGATTCTAAATACTGTCGTTGATAACTTTTTTTATGATTATCATTATTGCTGTTTTTGTTTGACTTGTGTATTTTTATGTATTTACAGTTCTTATAATTTTGTATTATCAATTCTAGATTATAATTGAGTGCATCCTCGTTTAAGTACGGGTTTTGTTGCACATTACTAATAAATACCGTTTGGTTGTGCAATTTATATAATACATTACATAATTCAGACATAAATGAATAAGGGTTAATGTCATTAGAACCTAAAACTAAAATTATAATGTCATCAGGGGTCAATACATTTATGAAGTCATCGTTGCAACTATTAAGTATTTGTGCAGTCGTAGCCGCTGGCTTGATAAAAGATCTCACGTTGTAATTATCATTCCACTTGTTGGACCTGGTCTTCGTCAAAGTTTTATTGAGACCGTGAGCTTGTTGATCTCCAAATACATATATATTATGCTTATTTGTAATGTTTGATGTTTCAACCTTTTGTTCATAACTATTGAAATGTACTAAATTTTTTTTGGTTACCTGTTGTAATGTATCAGTAGCGACATCTATCGGCCGAGATGTACTAATATATTCTTGGTCGTTTTTCTCGGTATTGGGAGCGATGGTCTCATCTAATAGAGTACCATTACAAATCGTCTGTGTCTCTTTATTTTGTGTGCTAGCAGCGCACTCATTGTGAAGTAATTGATGGTCATGTTCCTTGATTGTATTCTTTGGCCAGCTTATTTCATGCAAAGTTTTATTCTTGCGTGTGGGAGTTAACCTTTTCTTTTCCGGAGTCGAGCATATTTTCTTATAAGTATTGACGGTTTTGATCATGTTTTGCAGGTCAGATTTGAGGCGAAAGTTTTCCGTATTTAGATCTTCAATTTCCTTATGTGCGCTTAATAATTGATTTTTGAGTAATCTAATTTCTTCCGTTAACTCAAGTACGTCGTCACCAATAGTATCTTGAAAAGTATCCGGAATGCTCATCATAGTTGTATCCAGAATCGTTTTGTCGCTGTAAGTCATGTTTGTAAGGTCAGTTAAGGAGTTTGACCTACAAGGATTGCGGTAGGTAATGTTGTCATTGCTAGAATCCATCACTATAGCAAGCTTATAGTAGCGCCCTCTGGTGAGAAATCAGAGGACAACTTTTTTTTTATTCAAATGTTAGTTGATAGTTTGAAGATTCACTCTTTTATAGTCTGTCGTTGTGTTGACAGAATTTAAAAAACTTAAGATTTTACAAAAAGAGGCGGGATCCCTCGCTGCGGTTTGAACCAGCGATCAGTCGATTAGGGGCGATATGTAGCACTCTATACCGCCGAACCATTGGAGCTTAAGATATTCTTGTGAAATAGTGCATCCCATCAATAAGTTCTTATATGTAAATGAAACAAAAACGGTTGATATGACTCATGCGTTTGGAATTTTTTCCACTTTCAAACACTTCGGTCACTTTGTTTTTGTTTTTTTTTTTTTTATTTGCACTTTTCTATAGATTTTATCCACGTTTTTAGTTAGTTTGTGTATTGAAAACTGCTTAAACTTCGGTTCATAAGTGTAATGTCTCTGGATTGTTTGTTTTAGTTCACTTTTTTAGTTTTATGAATTGTGTTTTTTACTTCACTGTTTGTGTATGGAGATTGTATATATAACACTGTCACTGAGTCTTTAGTCACTATTTCATGGTTTTACTTATTTTTATTTACTTTTGAAGTCAAATAGTATTTTAAAACAAATATTTAACACGGAGCAATTTATGTCGCGTTAGACCAGATGCAGCGATCAGTCTACCCTCTCATCATTCATCATTCAACGTATGAACAGAAATCGAACAGGGTGGTTTTCAGACAGTAAGAGTCTGGCACTTCCTCTCGCCGCTCCTAGGGCGGGAGAAGCCATTTGATAAATGTACACCTCAAAAAATAAATCGAAATAGGTACTCTATCTAAAATATCTAATATCTGCTACATGGCTTGTAAAATAATGAAGGTATTTCTAAAAGCATCCGCGACATAGGAAACTGTCCTCTAAGGCAATGTTCATTCAAAACGAGAGAAGTAAAAGTTAAATATAAAAAATAATCAGATTCCACTTTTGCCCATTCTATGAAGTTGTTGATATAAGTATCTATTATACCAAATTATTAAGGAGGTAAAATTTTTAAGTTTGTTTGTAGTGAGTAATCTTTGGAACCGCTAATCGGATTTCCGAAATTATTTTAATGATAGATAGCTACAATATTCATGAGCTAAGCTATTAATTATACTTGATTTGCGTATTTTAGTTGAGCTATCGCTTTAAACGCTGCTGTTTTTAAAATTCCGGTATACGTTACTTTTATACGCGTGCGGAGCCATGGGCGGAAACTAGTGTCGTTATAATATGTAAACCTTGAAATATCTTCAAGTAAATCTGTCAAACAATAGTTCGTACAACTTCACACAATACCAACAATAGACGATGGCTCCAGCAAACTTCTTGTGGAACACTGCGTACAGTTAGCGACAGAAACTTGGTGGCTTAAATATGTAAGTTTACCACATATGAAATTTTGATACGCCGTCGCCAAATTTTTATTACATCTTAAGAAGTGTTTTAGTAGTTCATCATAAAGATTACCACAAAAAATACAAATAAAAAAATCATAAAGCAAATAAAATTTTTGAATTATTTAATTAATTTTTTATAGTAATGTCTGACCTGTAGCCGCATCTATAAGTAATGATGAGGAGGGAAGGACGGGAAGAATTGCTACCTGAACCAACATTTACGGCAATTTTCTGTGAGGCCGCGTTTTCACTCCGGTCGAGCTGGTCATTCATCCATTCGTGCCAATATAATAATTATTTGCACGCTTGCTTACAAGCAGAATGCAGTGCTTTTAAGGTTATAAGACCTTTCCTTGTATACAATGTATGATGTAGCAAGTACCAATGCGACTTTTTCTCTGTTATATATGTACAATGTACTTTCTCAAATTATTTGAATCCCACAGAAGGAAAAGATCGCAAGAAATTTCGAAAAAAAAAACCACCCGCATTTTTTGGGACTTTTTTGTAACTATCTGTACATCGGAGAATTGTTACAAGTTTGCGTGATCTCATACAAAAGTTAGACGGTCACACCCCGTGTGAAACGAGAATCGAATCCGCGTCATTGTTTTATTGTTTCACCAAGTTTTCTCACTCTGATTTATTATTCAGTGAACGTAGTACCGAAGCATTTGTCTGTTTTTCAGTTTTTCAGCGGAAAAACGTTTTCTTTTTTTGTGTGTCTGTTAACTAGTTAAGGTTGTTTATCGTTTTTTTTTTGTGTACCGTCTTGTTTATATTTTTATATTAATATTTTGTTTTTTGTAAAAATGTTTGAATTATGCAACCACGACACCTAGCTTCACTGACGAACAGACTGACAGCCTATTCTATTTTGACGTTTCAAAAGTACCCATTTATGGTGTAGTTGGAATAAATGATGATTTGACTTGATTGATGTGCATATCGGTATTATTATTTCAGAAAAAAAATATATAGAACAGTTATAGTAAAATTACCAGAGGCCCAATTCTTTACCTCCCCGATTTTTTCCCAAATCTCAAAATCTCCGAAACCCTAATCCCCAAATGGCCAGTGACGCATCTCAATCCATATTTGATGATTTGATTCAAATCTCTTCAGTAGTTTTTTATGTCAAAGACAAGTAAGTAGTTAAGTGCTGTTAATTTTCATAGCAATTCACGTTTATACCTATCGTTGTAATGAATGTGTGAAACATAGCCTTGGACGAGACTAATACTTTACCAGACACAACTAACATTGACTTAAGTTCACTTCGGTGTAACGAGGTCCCGTTCTAAGTCACACGATTAATCAGTTCGAAACCAAACTTAGTAGTAAAGTTGCTAGTGTTATTAATATGGCAGTGTATTTGTTCGTCTTTTACGTGTATAAAGAATTATGGATTTGTAATTTCAGGCATTATCAACTTCCAAATTCAAGTGTCCGTCAGTTCGTTAGTCGTAGCGGCACGAAGTTTTTTTTGAGCGATCATCAATTTAATTTAAAAGTAAATAATTTGCCTTAAAAAATTTTTTAAAATAAGTTTTAACGAATTTTTAAACTCCATCCTTTCCTGTGTTTGCATCATCTTGATTTCTTCTACTGCTGGACATATGCTTCGACATTGCGCGCCACTGAGCTCAATGCTCAGCTCTTCTCATCCAACTACTGCCGGTTTTTTTTGTGCTTACAGATAATCCGGCTCTGCCATTAAAAATTATAACATGCTATCAAAATATGCGTGAAACCGCGAGCTTAACTAGTATTACTAACTTTCAAACTCCATCTAAAGTAAAGGTTATGGTTATGGAAACAGTTTCATATTGTATCAGTGAAGTTTTAACTGAAATTGATTGTAAAGGAGTTTTTAATTGAATATCGCCTGAAGACCGCAGCCGCGATGAAAACGATAGCTTCACTAGTTTTCATATAGTTTTAAGTGCTTTCATAATTGTTTCAGTATTTTACTGATGCGGTGTTTTGTATGTAGATGTGGTGTAAGAAAGTTTATTACACCTTTGATAGAACGCTTTAATCCAAAGTATAATATTATAAATGCGAAAGTAACTGTCTGCCTGTCTTTTCTTGAGGCCTAAACGACTGAGCCGATTTCTGTGTAATTTGGTACAGACATAGTTTGGAACTCGAGAAAGGACATAAGGTAGTTTAATACCAAAAATCTGCTGGAAGACACTATTCCACGCGAACGAAGTCGCGGGCAAATGCTAGTTATTTATATTTACGGGTTACTCACGCAATTGATCGCATCAATCCTGCTCATGGACAAAAGTCTGTCAATTTGTTGCCATGTAACGGGTTTCATTCCAAATTTCGCTGTACTATGGATTTTTTGAACAACCTTGCACATTGCGTCTAGTTTTGTTACGATGCAGTCGAGTCGAGAGGAACTGAGAAGCTGTCTCTTCCTTTGATAAAGCAGTGATGCTTGCAAAGAAGGGGGTAAAGCGTTTGAGGGAGCTGTTCTACTATAAGAGTAGATGAGTAAGAGTGTGACACTCCACCTGGCCTCACGCTGGATGAAAGAGGTCATTTTCCCCTAAAAAAACGCACCGTATTCTTACAATATCAGTATTTTTGATAATTCTTTTTTTATGTAAGTAGTCAGAAAATTTCAATGTAGAAACCGTGGTAAAAACAGAACATCATACCTTTCGTCTTTTTCCAATTGTTTTAATTTAGTTAGGAATATAGGATTTTGAATTTAGAACACTCAATTGCCGCGTCAATTTTTTTATACTGATATTGCAGTAAAAACTTTTTGAATTTAGAAACAAAAATAAATATATTTCTGTCCTTGTCATTTCAGGTTTAACGTCATTGACGTTTCAGTTTGTGAATTGGCTTTTCAACCAACAACATAGAACGATAATTAAAAGGGAATTTGAACACTAATCCTCATTGAGAAGACAGTTCAAATTCATTTATTTCGAATTTATGAAACAGCACGACTGTTTTAGCAATGTATCGCTATTACGATACACTTGGGTACAATGTGTTGGGAATACAATTGTTTTTGTAAATTTTATATGAACGCAAGACCTTGTGATTTATTCGAAGGCCGTGGTCAGGGAGATGTTGTCTTCGAAGAATGTTTTATTTTTATTTCTTTATTTTATTTATTTCGTCATCACCGCCATGCTGTATGCGATTACTGTTAAACAAAGACCTTTTTTCACACAAAGAAGGTTTGAGTATTATATGATTAAGCGTCTGCGAATTCTATATTCAAATTTAAAGAAATAATAAAATGTTAACCTGTGTTTGCTCTCGATATGTTCCTTCATCGTATGTATGTGTATGATATACAAACATTTTTTTAAAGTACATCATACATAACTACAAGTTGGAATTAGTTACATTAACTTCGCGTTTCTGTGTTTGCTTCTGATAAAACATGTATGCAAGGCAATTGGTACTTAAAGATATTTGATATTAAGAAGATAAGGCCTCCGAAGGATAAGGTCTCCGGTGATCTCAGTCATACATCGAAACACAACGCATTCGATTTTTCCCGCCGGACTTCTATGAAGGCGTGGTGTCATTCTGCTCAAGCAGGACCATTCGTGCCGAAACATGGCTCTCCTACACTTTTGGGCAAAGGAAGTTAAGGATTGCTTATTCAGTTCGGGAAAAACATAAACATAAAAATCTTACCTGCATATTACATATCTTGTACCGCACTGGTTCACCCCTGCAGCCGGCCGGTGAGGAGCAGGTCCGGAGTTGTCTGGACACGCCTCCGTCACATGTACGCGAACATAGTGACCATTCACTCCACTGCGACCACCCACCTCGGTCCTGCGGAGAAGAGGAACATCAAATATAACCTGGAGATGGCGAGCGTCATGGGCCTGCCCCCGTGCCATTGCGCTATAGCCGCCGCGTTGTCCCCGGACTGGGGAGACGCACCGGCATGCGCCTCATCCTCATGCCTCGCCTTAGTTAAGTGGCCACCACCAACACCGCCAACCATGTTCTCATCGTACCCACACATTATTATCTTTTTGTGAAACGCTCTTCAGTGACAGTGCCACCAAGTAGGCGTAGTACCCACGCCTTGTTTTTTTTTTTGTATTTTAGCAATAAATTGATATTGTTCAAAATTTTTGTTTCTTTCATTAATTTTTTTTTTGCTCGGGTTTATCCCGTGGCAAATGGCATGTTTAGGCAGGTTCTCAGAATATCCAGGTAGAATCATCAATTGATTTCTTCTCCCCTAGGGTAAGGCAAGAGAGAGTGTCAGGCTCTTACTGACTAAAAATCCCCGTTCCATTCTTGTTTTGGGCTGAGGCCGCGGTGGCACATTGCGCTTACCCCTCAACCCCGGCTATTATCATCATTGTCCGGTGAAGTTTTTAGAGTTTCGTCAGTAAGAATCTAATACTCCCTCTTGCTCTACCCACTAGAAGTGATTTGATGATTTTCCGAATTATTGAAATTCTATACATTTATTATTTGCGTTTGTGGTCATCAAGTTTGTTGAAGACATTCAAGTGATGTTTTTTTTTAATTAGGGTATTTTTATGTATTTAGAGTATAACCATACAGCTTAACATTTATTAGATGATTTGGAGTTTAAAGCACTCGTTTCTCATGAGTGAGGAGGAGGGTTCAAACATAGGGTGAGAAAAAATATTTGATAATTTTCACCCTCAAAAAAAGCCCCTGGCTGGAACTGAGAAAATTTAAGCCAGTAAGAGACTGATAAAAAGCATGATGAATAAATATAATAATATCTTCTGATCTGTCACTCTGTAGCCCTAAAAATGGTTTTATTGATTCAGGTTTAAAAGAGATAGCTGCTATTCGGTATTCGTGAAATAAATAGTTTCTTGTTTCTTTAACGATATACTCTATAATTCTTTTTACTCAGAAATTGCAAAAATTAAACATTCACAATTTTATTACTAAATCATCAATTATTTAAACTATAACTTTCGCGAGACATTCAGACAGTCGCCGCGTCGCGTGTCGCGGAATGCTGCTCATGAATATGGGCCTCTAGCATGGTTTGAAACTAGTCGAGTATCTCGTCAAATTATTACGTGAGTAAGCCGAAAACATAATAATTAATTATTTTAACATTTAAAAATTCATCTTTTAAAACGATAAACTGAAAAATAATATTTATAAAACGCATCATTATACTCTTTGTGTATTATTTACGGAGACTGGGTGTACAGTCAACAACAGAAGCGAAGTGATCGGCTGTCGGGGTACAGTCAATAATAATTGCAAACTATGTGACAGCGGGACTCAAGGGAATATGCGGGCCGAGATTACGATCACAAACGCTAGCTTTTGTTTTTATATTATAATGGCACTTTTTAAAGTACCTACCTATAAATATATGTTTAAAACATTGTATAGTTTTTACGTAACATAAACTATTCATAAGGCGTTTTTTAAGAAAAAAACTGCGAATAAAACAGGTTTTATACTATAATATATTATTATAAAAATCTCTTGTGGAGCATATATTTAATGAATATATTTTTTTATTTGCACAGAATATAATAAAGGCACATCATCATCGTCAGCCTATTTTCTTCCACTGCTGGAATCCATGTTCTTTGGTGCGTTCAGTGGTGTCGAAATGGTCTTTGAAAGTACATATAGCTTGCAAAAATCTCAATTAAATCATCACCAAATCTAATCAGTACTTGTGTAAGTACCAACCCTATCATCCAGGACACCACGACATTTTAATTATCATTGTCCATTATAAGGCTTACTTACTTATGAAGCTGTAGAATAATTTAACGCATTTATTTATGCATTTTCTGTTATCATAGTCTCTAATCTAAAATGAAGTTCAAACCTTTTGCCTCATCATTTATACCGCGTACATTTTGCCGATGGGAACAGTTTGCCGGCTGCAGTCTTTCCGTCCAAATATAATTTAGATGTCTTCAAGGCTAGAGTGAATAGGCTATTAAAAACCTAGTTCGCCTTACCATCAATAATTGCATCACTGCTTACCATCAGGTGGGATCGCAGTCAAGCACTAGTTTATATCAAGTAAAAAAATAACCAAAATGTTATAACCTTACAACGTCTTTCACAAAATAGCTGTGTTGTACTGAAATTGCTTTCAATTTATATATATTTTTTTGCGGAAAAAATAACAGCGTTTTGAAACGCAACCATTGAGCGTATGTTTTCATAATTTGGCTGGATTACTCCGATCGGAAAACTCGATAAAACTGGCCATTCCCAATAACGGTATTGACATGGTACTGCAGATTCTGTTAAATCCCTCCACACCAGTATGCACCTTTCAATAAGTTCACACAAAAAGCATTCGGTTCCAAGCGTTTTTCGTTGTTTTAGAGTCGATTTTCGTGTACACACACTTTTATAAAACAAACGAATTCAATCTTCTTGGAGAATAGTGCAAATATTTGTCATCTGTATTCTAGAATATTCGTGTGTTCACAGAATATTTTGTTAAGGGTTAGCGTATAGGTATAGTAGCGGAGGTACTTGAATTTTAAACTTTATTCTAGTTTCTGTAAAGTATATTTTAATACGAAAGGTCGCTTTCCAGTCAGGCACACATAATCGTTTCTTTCCCGCACAAAACTACATTTTTTGTGATCCACAAATCGTTGTGCCAGGTCTAGGTGTGTTGTGTATGTGAAATTGTATGTTTGTTAACACACCCACGACACGGTAGAAAATCCTAGTATAGCAACAAATCGAACCATGACTCATTACCAGACATTGTTTTAAAAAAAGCTTAACTACCTACTCATTCCGCTAATTTTAGGGAGTTGATCAGAATGAACAAAATATGTGGTAGCTGATTTCCCAGTACATAATAGCGCCCAAATTACACAAATCTTCAGGCTATAAGTGCCCACTGCTGAGCAAAGGCCTCTTCTCACACGAAGAAAGTTAGAGCATAAATAAATTACCACGCTTGCTCAAGGCGAATAAGCGATTCCATTCCTCACAATGTTTTTCTACCATAGAAGGCCATAGAGGTCTGTGGTGTCTTAACAATAATAAAAAGTACATATAATAACTTAGCAAAAGTCTCATTGGTACTTGCAAGGTTTCGAAAACCCCCCCTGATTCATGAGAAGCAGGCGTCTTAACCTTCAGGTCGCCAGGACGGTTTCACGTTCAAAGTCAAAGTCAAAATCATTTATTCAAACTAAACCATAAATAGGTACTTTTGAAACGTCAAAATAGAATAGTAGTCTGTCAGTCTGTTCGTCAGTGAAGCTAGATGCTGATTCCAAATTGTTGATTCGAATGGAGAAGAACGAGCAAGAAACTCCATCATGGCGCCCGCCACATAATATTGTTGGTGGCAATCTAAACACGTATGCGTTTGGTTTTCAAAATTAAATGTTACTGTTGTTGTGAGTAGTGAATGGATTCGAGAGTCGTGGATGCACTTGGTTATTATTGTATTAAATTGTTAAAAAGGATATTTTCAAAGTTGTTTTTATTGCTCTGTTAACTGGAAAGGCCAAGAGTCCTCTGTCAGTTTGTTTGTGTGTCTTTCCCCGGGCTATCAAAACCGAGATTGATTCACAAAGCCAAGGTAGCTAGACAGAAGGTAGGTAGAAGTTAAATTAGACTAATAATAATAAAAAAAAATCGAAAGATAGGTTGCCACTCAGATTCATTGGCCCCTGGCGAAGCGTACGATGTCGTCGGTCCACCTTAAAGGAGGTCGACCCACGTTACGTATTCTTTTTTTTATAGGCATCAAAGAAAAATTAAAAAAGAACTGAAATACTAATAAACAAGATTATTAACAGGATAGCTTGTAACATGACCTTCCGAACCTTATACACAAGAAACCACAAACTATATTAGGCGGTTGACGTCATCACCTAAATTTAGATGTACTAATTATTTTACAATGTAGTTATATACATACATAGGTATTTATTATATATGTAGTCTGATGTCTGGTTCATTATTAGCTTGTTCTAATATTGTCTACAACTAGTAGTAATTGTTATCAGATAAACAAATGAAGATAGACAGATTTAGACGCTTTGTGTCACATCAGCACTCGACAGATATCGAATCTTTTTCCGAGTTATACGTACTTTCTATGATTATTTAGACACCACTGACAGACGGTGAAGGAAAACATCGTGGGAAAACCTGGACTTATAATTTCTAATTATAAGTTTGAAATCGTGATGATTAACGCTTCTTCTCCGTATGGGAAGAGGCCTTTGCTCAGCAGTGGGCACTTATAGGCTGATGATGTGTGATGTGGTTTTTCTTTTTTCCTTTAAAAACGCTGCCCCAAACTAGAATTTTCTCCTGTGTCGTCGGCGCGTTTACATACATACAATTTCACATACACATTACACCCAGACCTGAAACAACCATTTGTGGATTGACAAAGAGTTTTCCTAGTGTGTATTGATCCCGCGCGACCAGTGGTAGCCAGTTGCTCAAGTAACGCGCCAACCGTATGAAAAACGGGAGCCTTAACTTCTGTACTACAGTGATCTATGTTTCAGCAAGCAACTCTCAAACATACTTTCCTCTGTAGAAAAATGAACAATCTTTACCAAATAAACATATTGAAGAATTAAACCTATCTTTAGCAACTCAGAAACATTCACATCAACCCCTCAGCTGCTCGAGTTTAACCCTTGAACCATTCACGTCGTGCCCGTCAGAGGCACTCGTTTCAAAACAATTTCATACATTGCTAATCTTACCGAAACAATACAATTCTTCTCGATATTTCACGCCTCTATATTTGCGATTCAGCAAGCGAATAAGGAAGAGATTTGGTAGCGCGCGTGATGTTTTTGCATGCTCCTGTCTAGAATAATAATTGTCCGCCTCGATTTTGGGATTTGTTAAATTTTACGTCATGCTTGTGTGTGTTTTTTTCGCGAAAGAAGGGTTTATTTTTTTTTCACAGCCTGTAGCTTTTTATTGACTGAAAAAGGCCGTGGTAAGGTTTTAAGGTAAAGAGTTACC